TTTCTAAGATAGTCCTCTTGGTGTTTGATAAGTTTTGTAAACATCATCAGGTTAAGGGATAAGATTCTCATCAAGGTATATTTCTTCTAGTGTTTTCCTTAAGTATTCTTCATTACTTGCAATTGGTATGTTTGATTCAAGAGGGTTTTTCTCAAGGTCCACAATTCAGGATTCAGTCACGTGTCTTGTCAAACTCAAAATCCAAATCAGGTAAGAACTAATGTTGTCAAAATGGGTTAGAACCCGCGGGCCAACTCGGGTAGGGTTGGATTTGAAAAAATGTAATTTTTTTATAGGGACCAATTTTTAACTCGGCCTACTTAGAACTTGACTTACCCGGGTTGAACCCGTGGTGAGCTGGATTGCCTCACAAACCCACTTAATTTTATTTAATTATTTATTATTTTGTGTTTCAGTATTATTACTTAACATTTTTTATTGTATTGTAGATGAGATAAAGATAAAGATGTTTCAAGAGAGCAAAATATTATGAATTTATCCATCCAAGACTCTAATCTTATAAATGGAATAAGTGACACAAAAGTTATCAATATTAGAAACTTATTTATTCACTTTTTGTACTTGATTTTGAATTACATTTGAATTATATGATACTTTTTTGGTTTAAACCTTCCCTTGGTCCTCATTTTTGTATGAAAGTCTCAATTTGGTCCTCATTTTTTCATCTGTCTTAATTGGGTCATATTTTTTTGTAAAAATGAACACATTTTACCCTAACTGTTAACTCGTCTCAGACGGCGTTAAATTAAGACCACATGGTGCAGAGAGAATATGTTAATGTGTGTTCCTCATTTACGTGCAGAGAGAATGTGTTGAAATCCCTAAAGTGAATATCCTTAAAGTCACATCACCATATTTTCTTTTCAATTTTTTATATTAAGATAATATATTAATAATCCAATTTAATTAATAATATATTAAAATATATATTAATTTAATTAATAATCCAATTTAATTATATTCACTAGTCATTATTTTGAACTAAATTATTATAAATTTAGTTTTTTAATTTTAAAATTTTTATAAAATTATGTGTATTTTAATTGAATATTAATATACAAAATTGTTTATATTATATCAAATTATTATATAAAAATAATAGTTTATTTAATATTTTTTAGATAACTATTTGAGAGAAAACATTTCTTTTTAAACTAAAATATGTTTATTATAATTTTTTTAAATTATTTTATTTTTAAATTTAAATAAATTCAATATATATATATATATATATATATATTATATTTTTAACTTTTCAAAGTAATAAAATTATATATCTAATGATTACAATAAAAAATTATTTTAAATAGTTTTTTATAAAAATTAATATTTATGTATTTATATTTAAAGAAAAAAGATAATATTAAAATATTATGTAAAACTTGAAAATTAAAATATTAAATAAAAATTATCAAATAAATAAAATAAATAATTAAATATAAACTAATTTAATTCTGAAGAATAATTGTGTTCTAGCAGGTGGTGAAACTTAAAAAAAGTCTTCTATAAAGTAAATAAAAATAAATAAAACTTGGTTTTAAAAATATTAAATAAAGAGAAGTAAATAATGTCACGTCACCACTATTTATTTAATCAAAACACTCCAGTGAATAATGTCACATCACACATCAGCACATGATGAAAAAATGAGGACCGAACTGAGATTTTCATACAAAAATGAGGACCAAGGCAGGGTTTAAACCTACTTTTTTCTTTCAATTTTGATTTGTCTTTAGATGTTGTATTTGTTTTTTGGATTTGAAAAAAAAACTTGTAATTAAGTCACTCAGTGAGTCAACCCGTTTAATCTACTAACTTATGATGGATTGAATCAAATTCAAATTTTTTTAACTCACTAATAAGTGAACCAAATTCGATTAACTCACTAAGTGACTAACTCCTGGTATCCATTTTGACAATATTAATAAGAACAACTGAAATAAATAATAATGTAATTTTTTTATTCTACTGAGTTATTTCAAATAATTTATTATAAAAAGATATAAAATCACAAAGTATTTTTTTTTCAAAATAAATAAATACTAAATAATTTTTATTTCTTTTTCTAAAAAAATATACCATATAATTATTTATTCAGTACAGAAAAAAAATGAATAAAAATCCTCACAAATAATTACTAATAACTTGTAATAATATCACAAAAATAAAAATACATGACCCGTCAAACAAAACACAATGAAATCTACGACATATACCATACAAATATTTTTATCCCAGTAAAACAAAATTGAGTAAAACATAAATAAAAAAACGGTTAAATTATTTCTGAACTGCAACTAGATATAAAGCTTAAAAAACCCAACCGAAGTTCATTTATCTGATCTCAGAACCTCAACGTTGAACACAGAAAGGGGAAAAGGGGATTAGGGTTTGGGAAGCAGCGTACGATTATGGATTTCACAGCGGAGAAGAAGGAATCAGAGAACAACAGCGCCAATAACCCCGAAAACGCTCATCAAACGTTAGATTCTTCTTCTCAATTGGCGTCGGCACTTGATTCAAGCAACAAAGAAACCGAAGAACGACAATCTCGTGAACTCAAAGCTGGTCTTCACCCTCTGAAGGTTTTTCTCCCTCACTTCAATTTTTTGTTTCTTCGCAACTGAACCGTTCTTACCGCTATCGAAAAATCTTATTATTAGTTCTAAATGTGGAGGAGTTGATTGGATGCTGTGTTGGGTGCTTCTACTTTGAAGCAGATATATCAATGTTGCACTTTAAATTTGATTCAGGGTCTTAATTTTACATGCTTGTTGATTATGTCTCAAAGTTATGTTTATTTCGCTCTATCCTTTCTCTTTCTTGGAGGCTTTTAGTGCTACTCGACATTTTTGGTTGTTGATATAGTTTATGTTTGTGGTGATTTTTGTGTGCAGAACAAATTTGTCTTCTGGTACACTCGTCGAACACCTGGAGTTCGAAACCAGACCTCATATGAGGACAACATAAAGAAAATTGTTGAATTTAGTACGGTGAGTCTTCTCTTTGTTTAGAGTTCTAGTTAAATATTAGTTCATACTTCATAACATATATCCTTACTTTTGTGGTTCTGTGATTGTATGTTAATAGGTTGAAGGATTTTGGGTCTGCTATTGCCATCTTGCCCGGCCTGCTTCTTTGCCTAGTCCCACAGATTTGCACCTTTTCAAGGAAGGAATTCGCCCTTTATGGGAGGTATATACTTAAAATTCGTAGCCGAAGTTGCATTTTCTTTCTGATGGAGCATTTACAAGCTGTTCCATTCTTTTGAGAGGGTGTGGGAGGAAAACTGGGGTAAGTGTCTGTTAGATATGTTTTAATTTTGTGACACAACATTTATTTTTTCTGCAGGACTCTGCTAACTGCAATGGTGGTAAATGGATTATACGATTCAAAAAGGTTGTCTCGGGTCGTTTTTGGGAGGACCTGGTAAGTGCACATATTTTCATCTCTGGTATTTTGTATCTTGATAAAATATCTGAATTGACTGTGGGAAATAATAACATCTTTTATTTATTGAGTGATTATTTAACTTTGTACTTGCATCAAATAGTTTCACTGAAAGTTTGGTTTTTGATAGATCCTCATGGCATGGTTTGATACATGTAGTTGATCCCACTTAATACTATAAGTGTTGGTTGTGGTTGATGGTGTCTGGATTTTCCATTGAAATAAGGGGGATGTTAGTGTCAAGCCAGTAACACTCGTTTTAACACTTGATTAAATTTATTGGAAACTACAAAAGTATGTGGGAGACTCATTAAATAAGAAGTGAGACGTACCATAATTGTGATTTCCTATAAATATCAGCCTATAATAGACTGTGTCTTGCTAGCATTTCTCTTAAAATTGTAAAGTATTCTGCTCATTGAAATGATTTATGGACCTCTATTTCTTTTTTGTTTATTTTAACCTGATACTGAAAACAGAAACCCAGGTTTTGATTCCAATTTATGAGTTACAAATTTTCTCCATTTGTAAAGCATGATTCCACAGGGTTGTTCACAGTGCATTCTCTTGAGGTTTCCATGATTTAAGCTCAACAAATTTGTTTGGGGATAGGGAAATGTTTCTGAAGCCTCTCTCAGTAGTTTGTTTTTTAAAAATTGAATAATGAAAATGAAAAAGAAAAAGAAAACTTGTTTTTCTAAGTTCAAAGAGTGAGTTCCTCTAGTTCTTGCAGCTCTGGGACGACACCAGTATGGACTACATATTGGATCCAGTAGACCTATGTATTTCTTGTGGGGAAGATTTGATATATTGAATATAGTGTTAACCAATTTCTGCTTACATTTACCAAAATGGCAGCCTTCAATGATTTCTTTTGCTTTGTTTGTCCCCTTTGTGTTGTGATATAACTGTTAAGCTCTTCAATTTTTCTGGAGGTTCATAGATATTCAGCCTACCCTATGTGCAAAATGGAATTCAATAGAAGGCCAATTCAATTTTGAACTTGATTGAAATATTGAATCCTAATCCTTTTAGAAGCATCAAGGAGTGGGGATTCCTGGTTTGGTTGCTCTTATAATTTTCATTCATGTTTCTTATAGTGGAAAAATGATGAGTAGCTAGGCCTGGATTAATTCTACTTGTTACTTGAATTTTTCCAAAATACATTTTGTATATTTTCCACACCATTAATATATACAGTATGTAGGGACAACCTAACAAACCATATGCCCTTTATTTGGTTTACATATGATTTTATTGCTCTGAGGTTTTTCCTTACACTTTTGTAAATTTTAATGACAAACTATTGACCAGCTAAGTTACAATTTGGAATCTCTTGGAGAAATTGATTTCATGATCTACATCATCGATTGCAAATATATTTTTCTTGCATAGTTGGATACTTAATTTTTAATAGCATTACATGACTAAGTGCAGGTTCTTGCCTTAGTGGGTGACCAATTGGATTATGGGGATAACATATGCGGTGCAGTACTAAGTATTCGTTTCAATGAGGATATATTGAGTGTCTGGAATCGCAATGCTTCTGACCATCAGGTAGGCATTTTAACTGAACCTATTTATTTATACTTTATACATTCATGCATGTTCTTAGTATTGTTCCTGCTTTCACATTACAGGCTGTAATGGCCCTGAGAGATTCAATTAAACGTCACTTGAAGCTTCCTCACAGCTATGTTATGGAGTACAAACCCCATGACGCCTCTCTGCGAGACAATTCATCCTACAGGAACACTTGGTTGAGAGGGTAGATAGATGTAGAACCGTGTTCTCGCCAGAATCCCTGCAGTGGAAGCTATATTGCATACTCTTGCAGGCTTCCATTCAGCCAGTGAAATCATTGACTAATGGTGGTTGTTCCAGGACTGGTTTCTGTCTTTTGAATTCAATGTACGACAACTACATCGCTACTTTAATAGAGTTTCATTTGGTTACTTGGGGTTAACTCTAATTCTGTGCAATGTGTCTCCTAGTTTCTGTAAATAAACTTGTTTGTGTTGCTTTTCACCTTGCTTTTGGACAGAATCATGGCCTCTCTTCCATCTGATATTTGATAGAGATCTCCTGAAGTGCATTTTTTTTACATAAAGGGATTAATCCTTTAAACATAAGTAGTGTAGCAGGGGATACTACTGGCTCCATTAGAAACGTTACATAACAATTCAATCCTGAACTCTTTAGAAGGTTATACATTCAATTGGTTTCTGAAATTCTAGAAGTGCTATATACTCCTTCTGCATTACCAATTGCTTGTAGTTTTATTTATTGAAAATATAATAATAAGATTAAAATGATTTGGGTTTCATATTAAAACAATATATTTGACTAAATTGAGTTTAGGTGTATTTGAATGTGGCTTGTGTAATGAATATTTCGTAGTTGATAAATTTATTTGGTAAAAGTTTGTCTGGAACAGAATATTTAAATTAAATGGTTATTTATTTTTATGCAAGAAAATAATTGTTTTATAACGAAATATGTTTTGGTGATTCTTTAAGGAATCACAAATTTAGAAATTTATGAAAATAATTTAATTATTTTATGATTTTGAAATTATTTTATTTTATAATTTTTAACGATTGAACTTAAATTCATAAATTGCATAGTTCTGAATAATAGTAACCATCTTTTCACATTTTTCGCAATAAAATTCGTTTCTAGCATGAAAGCTCTATAAATTTGGAGTGTTAAAGAGAGATTATTGGTCAAGGATCTTAAAGACCTTTTTGCAATGTTACATTTAGTTTTTGATGATGCACTAAACAAAATTATGAGTTGTTTTTATTTTATGTGTAAATGATTGTAATTTATGCATTAAAGCTTGTTCGGGTTTATGCATCTAATGCTCATTCTATGCATTTACAAAAACTTAAACCCTTTTTTTGAAAGTGTTTTAGAACATAATAATTGACTATGATAGATGATTATCATAGATTATTTGAACTAATTATTAATTACCTGAACTAGTTATCGATTATCTGGACTTTGATTCAAACACAAGTTTCATGAATAATTAATTATGACTGGAAATAATTAATTAAATTATTCTTATTAAATTTTCTTATTCAATTAAACACTACATTAGTTCTACATCAGTTTAAAAGACTTTATATATATATTTTAAAAATAACAAGTCATACATAATTACAAGTAATTTCTAATAATTTTCAACATCTCTCTAAAAACAAAGAAAAGTGTTTTAGTTCATAAATCTCTAAGAGGATTTTGACTTAAAAGATATTGAAAGACATACCTACATAAACTCTGTTCTTATTCTTTTTGGGCCATCCATAACACAGTTTTCCATTTATTTTTAATTCTTAGTTGAATTTCTATTAATTTTAGTTTGATGTTTAATGTAATATGTTTTTATATAATTTGGTAGTGTTCGATATTGTTCAATAATTTCAAATTGTTTAAGAGTTGATGTCAAAAATAATTTAAATATACTTTTTTTTTCTTTTCACCATTTGAAACGCTTTTTAATGAGAAAATTATGACGTAATATAGACTCTGAAATATTTGATTCTAAATATGCTACTCAACAGATATGAAATCGAAACATTGATTATTTTTATAAGTCTTCGAAAAGATTTTACATCTGGAATAATTTCATGTCACTAGAAAAAAATATTCATATTTTGATATTAAAGATATTGAAACAATTCTCAGTAAAATTTTATTAGTTAAAACTAGACGTAGGTTCCTTAACATCATATCAATATAAAATTATTCTTTCTTATCATTTCTCTCATTTTATGTCCTCATATCACTCGTTATTATATTCTTCTATAATTTCATCTAATTTCACGTATAAGATGTCAAATATTCAAATATAAGTATAAGATGTCAAATCTTCAACATGAGAATGTATATAAAAGAACTTTTACACTGATAGGAGATAAAACTAAATATAAGTATATAAAAGAACTTTTACACTGATAGGAGATAAAACTAAATATAAGTATCTGTAAATCTCTTAGAAACTAATTTTATTGGATTAAGTTATATTCAATTTCACTTTGTTAAAACCATCTCTCACCAATTAGAGCATACAAACAAGTAACAAACTAACAATGTAGCAAACTTTAATTTATCATAAAAGTTACTATAAAAAGAAGTTACAGTTTAACTGAAATTTCATACAAAATTCAAATTATATTCTATTACCCATATGAGAATCATCTATAGGCAAACTATCCTAAACGGATGACTGGAGCCCAATGATACCTGATCAACGATTAGCCTTTGTCAGGTTTCAACATACAAAGCAAAGCAACAAGTAGCAGACTATGTAAAATCAAACTGAACTCTATGATATTCGAACTACCTTTCTTGTCATGATGAATTTAACCTATCATATTTAAAGTATATATATATAAATAAACTTCTTAGTAAACAACGAGGGACAAAAGAAAATTCTCCACAAACTAAGTTTAGCATATACATAAGCTAATTTATAGAAACATTCTCATATTAACTTCTTCCCAAAAATCTATTTTTAACTTATGCAGAAGTTAATTTTAACATATTTCACATTTCTTTCTTTACTTTTGTCAAACCCCGAAAATGACAGGTGGAAGAGAGAGACATATGTCTCAAATAAAAGAGATTGAACATTTTATAGAAATTTCCAAACCACAACTCATCTCAGTTTTCTCAGAATCTGTGTCTCTCTAAAACTCAAGTCTCTACCTTTTCTCCTCCTTCTCTCTAGAAATTCTTTATCTGATTTCATCTTTTCAATCATCAGACCACACTTAATCACCCCTGGTATCAAGAACTTCAATTTTCACCGATCAAAGTCTCATTTAGAACGGGTAAGTTTCAATGTCTGGGGTTCTTGTATGATTCTGAAACTTTCTGACACATGCAAGCCACATTTCTGATTGCATGTGTTCATCAGCTTCTTCTTAATTCTGATCACTTTTCTGGTATTTTGGGTTGGTCCGTTACCGAAAATCGGTGAACTGCAGGTTCTTGAGATTTTCTGTTGTTAAGAGCAAATTTCTGAAGTGGTAGAGCTGTTAAGCTAGATAATTTAATTACTTAGTTTTAATGTATGAAAATGTTGTTTGATGAGGTTGCATGTATGTGAAATTGAATGATTTGGTGTTCGGTGCTTTTCGTGTGGAATATTGATGCTGTATTCATGATGATTGTGTTTCTGCATGATTATGGTTCAGTGGCCGAGTGAAATTGGAAGGAAGTGTGGTAGTGAAAATTGGGGAAATGTGTTCGGTTTGAGTTTGGTCTGTATATGATATCTAATTCTCGGTCATTGAGTTCATGATTCTGTAGAATTGAATCTCAAATTTGTGATTAAACTCTCTTTATTATGTTAGAAAGGTTTAATTAATCTTAATCAAGTGTAAATGAAGTATTTGATATATGTTTGGAGGATTAGAAGTTGGAAGATTGTAGTGAAATTGGTAAGGATTGGTGTTGATCATAATTTTGCAGTTATTCTGTAGAATTATGTAGTTCGCTGAGGGTCTTTAATTGACCGTTCGACTTTTCTCTGGTACTCGATCTTAATTGAGTTCTACTTTTGTGGATCTTAGTTAATGACCGATTAGTCTTGTGTTAATATTCAGGTGAATATAACAGTTGATCTAGACATAACATTTGATTGTAAACAGCGTTCGATCTATCATAAGCTTTAACTATTATTGACCGCTTGGTCATGTACTGTCTTAGTAGTGCTCAGTATTGTACTATAAGCGCTTGGTCTCAGTAGTACTCGGTCTTGTACTAAGCATTATGTCTCGTCATAATACTCAGTCATGTATTTTTATTAGGTACTAATGGTGTTCGGCTTAAGCCAATAGTGTTCGGCCTAAGCCAATGGCATTCGGTCCAAGACAATAATGTTCGTTCTAAATTACAAGTGTTTCGGTCTAATATTCAAGTGCTCGGGTTTAACTTTAGTATGTGGTTGTTCTAGTGTTCGATACTAAAATCGTGTTCGGCTCATGCTTGAGTCTTACTCTTTAAATGATCGTTCGATCATGTTCACATATGGGGGGTTTACCGTCTGGTCTTGTTCATAAGGTTTGTTGATCTTTCCGTTCGGTCGTGCTCAAGGGTGATGTTTGTTTTACTATTCGGTTTGATGTTATTTAAATGTGTTATGGATGAGGAAAAATGTTGGAATTGAGGTATGGTATTTATAATGTGATATGAAAGAGAATTCCAAGGAAGAATGTCTCACTGTTGGTTTCAATGTGGTGAAAGTATGAATATGGTTAGACTAAGCTGACGTTTATCCTGACATTCTAATGGTCACCGAGTCTCAAGTAGAGATTGGTGGCGCATGTGGTGAGAATAGCAGGAGGACTGGTCGCGTATAGCTTGGGGTTCTAGCTAACGGACTAAACTCATGTGTAATTTGCGGTTTCCAGCTACAGTGAGGGATGAAGGGCTAACCTCGTGTGGCGGCTTGGGTTTCCAGCTATGGTATTCATGAGCTTTCCAGTTTACCTTTCCACGAGTGCAAGAACGTCGTAGCTACATATTCATACAGTCCGGATAGTTAGAGTAAAAGTGGTTGGTTATAACATGCTTGTATGATTTCTGTAGATGTATGATTGTATTATATGTTTGTATGAATTGTATGTTTACATAGCTAATTAAATTACACTAGCTTACCCTTATTTCCTGTCTTGTCATGTTGTCCGTTCGTTCATCTTTGTCATTGCAATGATCACCCTTTGGGCGTGAGCAGAAGGGGAGGAATGTTCTCTGGAGCAGGCGTTGGCAGAAGATGATAGTTTCCGTTACGAGTAAGACCGTTCGGTCTTGTTCTTGTTTTCGTTTTCAGTGTAGGACCATTCGGTTGATACACTTCTTGTATGACCGTTTGGTATGCTCTTATGGTTTGTTTCAGTGTAGGTTTCTGTAAAGTTTTAATTTATAGTTATTTTAGGATAACTATAAGTTAGCTTTATTTCCTGTAACTGTTCTATTTTATTGTAAATGTAAGAACTCTTAAATATAGTTTACAACTATATTTTTGGGATGTTACAACTTTCTTCTTCTATAAATCCTTATGGATAAGTTTATACAAACAAATTCTTAGTGACTTTCATAATGTGTACATAAGAATGCTATATGTACAATCATTTCAAGTAGGAAATAGATAGTAACTTATCATAGTATGACCCGAGAAGTTTTTATCATCATGACTAAAAGAATGTGTTTCAAAAGTCATGTCTATTTTGTAGTTTGACATGAAAAACAATTCATACCAGAGGAACCAAGCCACTTGCATGCAATGGATTAAACTAGTGGAAAAGATTATAGTTGGTTAGTGTCCAGAAACAGTATGAAGGAAAGTGAGTATCACCACATGCTATTCTTGCACCAGCATTCCCAGTACTTTTGCTGAGTTCATGCCCACCTGTTTCATGATAAAAGAAAACTCAAAAAATGGTAAGTTAGAAAAACAAAACAGCGAATCCATAGTCTAGATCAAGAGATTTTAGTCCATCCTGAACTCCAGAAATTCCAACATAAAAAAAAAAATCATGTGTCCATTCTCTAGCCATTAGCTCAAACAAATGTTACTTGTCATTTTTCAACATTAAATGATACATCCATAAAAATAATTCCAACTCTTTTTTTGCAGGACAAGAAGTTACTTCATATAGACATAACCATTCCAAAAGAAACCCTCAGCTTTTATATGCAGTGGATCAAGAGAAAAAAACTACAGTAATGAACAGTCCACGAACAAGACAGGAATTAACTTTGAGTTCTTTTATGATACATTGAGATGCAGCCATTCGAATATTGAGGCAAAAGGGTTCTTGATCAAGGCTATTAAAAAGAACAACGGTCATACATATGCTGATTGGGTTAGGTTCCCTTTTGATAAATGTTCTCTACCTTGAGATATTTTGATCTTGTTGGAGGCCATCTTGTTCTTGGAAAAGTAATAGGTATGAGGTTTTAGCTATATCTAGTGCAGAAGTAGAATATCATGCTATGATCTTGGTTACATGTAAGCTAATATGGATTAATCAACTAATTTAAGAACTAAAATTTGTAGAGATCTCTTAAATGAAGCTATTTAGACAGCCTCTTATACCATTTTTATGAAAGAACATTGGCGTGTCATTTCATTAGAGGAAAGGTACTCTCTAGTATATTGTCACTAATTACATGAGCCCCAATATGACCAGCCAACTGACATCGGTCTCTTAGGAGTTCCCCATATTAGGCTCATTTGTAACAAGCTGGGTGCAGACAATTTATATTCTCTAACTGTGCAACTGTTTAAATATTTATCTTAAGTTTCTAAAATTTAGGAAAATATTATGCAGGCTCAACAGGAAAATATTTATGGTACCATTTCTCATTAAGAAATGATAGAATATAACACTCTCAGAACTCTATCTAGTCTCTCGTTATTTTAAACTTGTATCATGTAAGTTCCTTTTATTTCTCAATTTAGTTTCTTAAAAGGGCCAACTCATCATTCACATCGATAAATTCAAAGATTGAAATCAGAGTAATGGATGGGTTCTAGGAACTCACTTGCCAATTTAATTGCCCAACAAGTATTTCTCACATTAAGCTTACAATATCAAGCATGAAGGGTACTGAATCTCTATCATAGGAAGATTACTTCAATGAAATTACAATACAAAACAACATGACTAGGGGAAAAGAAAAGCTAGAATTCAAAGTTGGAACAAGAACAAACCCAGTGAGCAAGTTTTGGGGCCAAATTTTAAAATCTTACCCTTTCCAAGATCATCAGGATCAGCATGCACAACAACAGCCCTCCCAATTATGGAGTGAACTCCAGTTAGTGGAATCTACATATTGATAGGGAGAAAGGGAAAATTAAGTGTTCTAGTACCATTCAAATTTCATAAATAAAATTATCAACCAAGTGAAACAATACAAAGGAAAACCAACATTGCATAATGTGAGTGCATTTGAACATGTGATTGATTTATAGAGGGGTAAATCAAATCAAATCACATTAGATGATTCTCTAAAAGAACAAAGAGAACAAATTACGAAAATAACATTGAGTAACACCAAACAAAACTAAATTTAAATTCTTTACCTGTGTATCTCTAATAGAAATCTCAGCAACTCCTGCAAAACAGAAAGCCCTTTGGAAATTTCCCAGCAGACAGTTCTTGAAATCTAGTCAGAAATACCAAAATAAATATGAAAAAGAAAGCAGATAATACCATCCGGCCCTGCAACAATGTTGCCCAAATCACCAGCATGACGCTCATCATCTGAAGGAGCCCCATGATCCTTCTTCAATGGATTGAAATGAGGACCTGATGCAAAGAAGTCAAAGCAAAAATTAACCAGAAAGTTGCATGTTTAGCTTCTAGATTATTTGAAAGAAAAAAAAATGACTTCATTTCATAAGTTTAAGTTAATATTACGTCACCAACAAATCATAAATGACTCTATATATATAACTTGCAAAGAAACATTACAAAGGTTAACATCTTCTAGTTATACAACAAATCATGATTGGATTTCAACGGAAAAAATAAAACTCATAAGACTCTCCATATTCAAATTAAACTATTTTTTCTTTCTTTCTTCTAGTAGGTTCAATAATAGAATTATAACCCAACTACACACACAAAACAAGTCAATTCAAAATGAATTCAGGATTTCTGTCACCCTTGTTTTTTAACTCTTCTTTCTCAGTCTTGGAAGTTTACAATTGTAAACCTTCCTTTGAATTTTGCTAGAAAAGGTGGGTGGAAGAGGAATTGTACAAGTTTGATGATAAACAATGATGAATAGAAGAGAGAACCAGTGGAGTTGCAGCCATTGGTGGTGTCACCAAAAGCATGAATATGGAAGCCATGAAATCCTGGGGACAACCCTGTTATTCTCCCTGTGACATGAGTGGTCCCTACACAATCACAATGAACAAGACCAATAAGCAAATCATCTTTCCAAACTGAATATAGACTCAGAGATATGAAGAGAGAAAGAGAGACCATTGGGGTGCTGAAGAAACTGAAGAGAACCTCTAACGTTGTTATCTCCGATTATGAGAGCCACTCCTTTGGGGTTTCCGTTTGCAGCTTTCATCTTCTTTTCTGCCTGTTAGGAAAAAAACAATGAAGATAGTGGAAAACACTTATCTGTGTGCTTGGATGGTTTAAACAACAAAAAAGGAAAATAAAAGGGAATTAATAAGAGATTTGCCTTTTTACTCCTGAATTGAACTGAAGAGGAATATTAGGAAAAGGAAAAGGAAATCCATACATTTATTTTTTTTGGTTTAGAGAGAAAAGAATTTGTTTATATTTAAATATTTTATATTATTTTAATGTAGTGGTGGTGTTAAAGTAAATAGATATGATGCTTTATATATATATATATATATAT